GGGGGGGGGGGTGCATCCAGCCCCCGGGGCTTAGGTTGCCTACCCCTGCTTTAAAACCTAATTTTTAGCATGATTGCAAATTTTAAAAATGAATTCAGAAATCAATACCTTGTTAGAGCTGAAAGCACAAATTACTCAGACTTTCCATGGAGAATGGCTGGGGGATAAAACAGAGTCCCCAAAAATCCTGCTCATTACAGCAGTGGCACCTTGCCGCCTCTTGCTTGGGATTAAAGACCATGCCTTGTTTATTCCTTAGTAGATGATCTGGCAAAGTTGATACGTGCAAGAAGGTCCTGCTTCTCCCCTCTTTTGATTTTGGACACAGAAGGATAGAGATTGATGGCTGCCTACCCCCTGCCAGAGCAAATTGACCTCTCAAATGCATCCGTTCACCTTGTTGGTATGAGGATAATGGAGAGAGTTGAGTACAAAAAGAGGAGGAGGGCTGCTTCTTTTCTCTTTGGGGGCATTCAAATGTGCTAGGCCAAAATAGGAAACAGGTGAAAGAAGCCCTCCCCTCCTTCCTTAACACGCTTCTGTGGACAGAGCTTCCCATCAAGCAGGCCTGTTTGATCTCATACTTTGGGAGGGTGAATCCTGCTCACCAGTAGGTTTTTTTTTTATCACTCCTTTAAAGGGAAAAAAAGAAATGTTTTTAAGTGGGTGGATAGATCTCTTACACAGAAGTCATTCTCTGTCTGTTGGAGATCCCAGGCTGTGCCTGTGTTTTGGGAACAGAACCAAAGTATTAACTCATCACATCTTCACAAGGCTTGGAGAAAAGAAGCCAAGCACTCAGTAATACAAAAGAGAAGGCCCTTGCCCAAGTTTAATGTTAATTGTTAGATTCTGGGGGTGGGGAGAGATGGGCTATCACAAGAGGGTGTAATGCACTGGGTATATAGATTGTCAAGCAAGGGTACAATGCTGAGAGAAAAACAATGCAAGACTCATTAGATGCAGTTTAACAAATGTTGAGGCGGGGATGTGTGGGATTTGCACATATGTCCTTTTTGTGCATGCCTGCTTATTTTCTATTGTACACAAATATTTGTTTGTCTTGGTCCCACATTTTCCCACAGTTGTTGAGAATGTTTTTCTTTGATCTTGTAGCCTGATCAGTTACTCCCTAATATTTGTGGAGTGCTCTTGTCTTGAATGATTCCCCTCTTAAAGGAAGAGTGCAGCTGGAGTGTAAAGAGTGTTGAGCATATCATACTCCTGTTCATTTTTACTGAGACATGAGACATACTGCATGCAATGAAGTATACTTCGACATAATGTGTATAAGTTTGTAGATTTAATGACTATCAAAGATTATTTGGCAACCTGAATACTGTACTAAGGGCAGTCAGAGCAAATATTATGGGGCTGCCACTTAGGGGTATAATGGCAGTGGTGTGGTTCATTCCCCCCTTTCTCTACAACATAGTAATGGAAATGTGCTGTGTGTCATTACATCATGAGTATCTCCCTCCTTTGCTCTATATTTTTAGCTGCTACTGGAATGGAAATGCAGTGGTTTTATTTATTTAAATCATAGAAAATATCTTATTCATGTGTCTGTGACCACATGTATTTTGTCCCCAGCCCACTAAAAAAACAACAACAACAAAATAGGATAGAGATCTGCTTCAGATTTGCATATATTGGTTAATGTAGATCAATGTTGTGATTGTTGTTGTGTATCTTCAAGCCATTTCCGACTTATGGCGACCCTAATATGAACCTATCATAGAGTTTTTGTGGTAAGATTTGTTCTGAAGAAGTTTGCCATTGCCTTTCCTGAAGCTGAGAACATGTGACTTTCCCAAGTTCACCTAGTGGGTTTCATGGCCAAGCTGGGAATCAAACCCTGGCCTCTAAAGTTGTAATGCAGCACTCAAACCACTATGCCACACTGGCTGTAATATAGTGTATTTCCAGTTAAATTACAGTAATTATTTCTAAATGTGTATTAATATAGATCAGTACACATTTAGAAATAATTACTGTAATTTAACTGGAAATATAGTATCTTAGTCAGTGGAGACAATACTGGCCAAGTAATATTGTTCGGTCTTCCATCCGGGCTCCCAACTTTTCCTTCTTATGTTTCTACATCAGTGGCTCCTAAACTAGGGTTTCCAGATATTGTTAGACTAGAACTTTCATAATCTCTCATTGGCTTTGAAGGTTGGGGCTTCTGGGAGTTGAAGCCCCAGAATAATATTTTTACATCACTGCTTCTCATCATCATCAAAAGGTTTTGAAGACCACTATCAAAACCTAGCCTAGTATTTTTTGTTCTCCACTTCACCTGCCCAAATTAAAACAGGTTACAAAGGCCAGAACTATCAAACAAAAAAACCCAAACAGAATGTAAAAAATGCATCCCAAGCAACAGATCTCAAAGGCTACCACTAGATTCCTCAAAAGCCAAAATTCAGAAATAAAATAAGTTGAGGAGCCAAACCCATTAAAAAAATAAATACAGAATAACTGAAAAGATATTGCATTCATATTAATAGATAGATCCATCAATAGAACCCCGTTGTTTGCCAGCAAGGTGATCAAGTACAAGATTATTTTAAAGATGATGCGGAGAAATAGACGATAGAGGGGAACATTGCCTTGAGCAACAACAGAAGATTTTTAATACTTCATGCAAGCACACACACACACCAGAAAGGAGGAGGATAATTACAGTAAACTTAATAATCATCTTTTAGGTCTGGGATTATGGCTTGGAAAAACAGATGTATCTGACTGCCTCTCCTTTCCCCCAGGTATAAAAATGTTAACATTCATCTGCTCTCCCTTCCTGAATCGGTAGAGTTCAAAATAAAATGCAAATAATTTTTCTCTCTCTTTCTGAAAATGAGCCCTGTCACAACCCTCCCCCCAAAGCATTAGACTAGTAATTGCCTGTGGGTGGGTATTTCTCCACCTAGGTGATGATGTGGGAAGGAGATTGATTCTGACCAAATTATATTGTACAATTTCCCTTTTATTTGAGGCTATTATTTCTCCTTGATTATAGGTCATTTCATGGGCAATAATACAGTGATAGATGTTTTGAGGAGAGAAGGCTATGAAGTTGAGCATACTTCTGCTGGAGAAGTCATCAACAGGTAACATATTCATCCTTCAAGTTTGACATGATACCCCTACAAAAGCTGGAACGCTCAAATGTCTTCATGGAAGGGGTGAGCAACATGTATTACCACCCATTTTTGTGCCACCAGATTACCACTGCCTGGGAATTTGAAGGTGGTGGTGGTCAGGGTTCAAAACTAGGAGAATCACACTTCTGGAAGCCTGTGGAAGGAGTGACCTTCATTCAAAGCAAAGCATATCGTCTGGTTTTACCAAAAAGAAAAGTGAACTTGTTAAATTAAAAACACAAAATAACTCAACTTGTAGTCATTTTGGGTTTTAATCATTTTAAACAATGTTTTTGGAGGGTCGTGTGATCAGAGGTCCTAAACGAATGTCCTGCAATGGCTGAAGTTTTCCATCTCTGCCATATGGAGTTAACCATCCCATGGTTTGATCTGCGAACATAAGCTGTGATCACCACTGTGAAGATAAGCAGGTCAGGTCTGACCAATGCCAGGACATAAGACCTCATGTACACTACCTTTAGTTTCATATTTAGATTATAAATTCCCTTACTGAAAGAGTCAATAAATAAACTCTTTTTTTCTAAATTAGCACAACTGGTCCTTCCCCCATTCCTCCCCCCCATTCCCTTAAAGGTTTGGAGAAACCACTTGATAGCTATACACTTAGTGATTGTATAATTTTTCCCCTCTTGCTGTATTTTTGGTGGCCACTTTACATATGGACACCATATCCTGGCGTTGTATTCATCAAGTTAAAATGTGAATTAGTTCCAGCTTTCATAAGAATTTGGTACTTAAGGGAAAGTGTTTATAGTGTTGAAATCTTTCTGGTTGTGGATGACGTGAAAGTGAAAGGTAAGAACTAGAATTTTGGAGAAGAAGTCAGGTTGTTTAAAAATTGCCCCAACTCTCCTTCTCATAGTGAATCTCATAGTAATGATTTCTGCCCCAGTTAACAAGATTGAAAACCCTCAGTGTAGAGGACTGAATTGGTCATAAAGGGTGAAATTGTATTTTGTATCTTTATAAAATGACAAACTCACAATAGATTGAAACATTGCTGGTGAAACTTGTATTGCAGAGTTTAAATATTAAAGAATGTTTAAGCGATCACCATTTGATTGATTAGTCTTTAATAACAGTTGACCATAATCAAACTCTCAAAATCTTCATCATATCTGCACCATCCTAAAGTGGAAAGGGTTTCTGACCTGCTTTAAAGGAGGAGAGTTGGGGCATTATTTGTCCATGTTTCCACAGAAGACAAATGTTCTGAACAGTATTTAATCACTGAAGCAAGCTTCGCCTTCTTCCTTCTCCCTTTCCTCAGTCTCTATTTAGGATCCTAAATAATCTGCAAGAATGGTTCATGAACCACTGACTTATCACTTATCATTTAAACACTTATCAAGAGTCTGGGAGAGAATCCCCATCTAAGTAATCAGGGAGTTGTATGCTTTAAGTACTTACACATAGCTGGGCTGCTCCCTGACTCAGAGTTTTTTGTTGTGGGTTTTTGTGTGTGTGTGTGGCTTTTTTTGGGAGAAGCAAATTCAGGGTCACTCTTGAGTTCACCTGTGACCTCCTAGGAGGGTCTTTCATTCCATCATCTACTCTTCTGTCTTTGATCAGTCTGTTTGAAATTTGCTTCACATTCCCACTCCCTCATTCAGGTTCACTGAATACATTTGGATGAAAATTAAGGGCATGGATGTTCTCACTTTTTACATTTTCTCCTCCTCTGTAAACTCAGCTCAGCATCCGGGCAAAATGAAAATAATATTAGCTGTTTGTATAATATTGCCTTTTACTTTGTGTTGCCTCTGGGAGACATTTTAGAAGATTTGCCAGAATGATTCATGAACCACTGACTTATCACTTAGGAGAGAATCCCCATCTAAGTAATTGGGGAGTTGTATGCTTTAGGTACTTAAACACATAGCTGGGCTTGCCTAGCAGTATATGATCTCCTACCTCCTGATGTTTTGTAAACTGCACTCTTCAAATCACATAATGGCAATTAACCACTATTTGAAAAATCTCTTTAAAACTTTGCATACCATGTGGGTCATCCCTTCTTTCTGATGAATTCCTGTGGATAAAATGAGGATCTGGCTTTGCGTTATTAGACCAGTAGTTCTCATCCACAACTCGCCTCTTTCTAAAAACAACAGAGGCACACTTTTCTCATCAAGCTCAAAGGATTTATTTTCAGAGAGTGGATAATTCAGTTGTGATTCTGTATTGTGGGGATGTGCATCTTGTGGCCCTCCAATCATTGGGATTTCTGACTAGGGCTGTTAGGAGGTACACACACAGAGCAACACACCGAGGATCATTCGTACTCATGCTTGCTTATTGGGAGTGACTGAATGATCCAGTTACAGGAGCCCTGCCCTCTTTAGGCTGACTAAAAGAACACAGGATTACAATTGTGAATGATGCAAAAGTTCACACCGATGGAAGCACTCTGTGGATGTGCTTCTCTGGTGTTTTTATTCTTGTTCCATTATACTGACAAAATGTGTAGAGTCTTAAAAATAATACAAATGATATAATATATAAAATAATACTTCCCCCATACTCATGAACAAATACTAATTATAATCAGTTGTCCTAAGGCCAGTATTTATAAATTGGGTGGTCACATTGCAAATCTGGGAGTATTTCTCTAAGCTTGGCCAAGAGGTTTATATATATATATATATATATATATATATATATATATT